CGAGATCTGCGAGACATGTGAGACCTGTTGGACCTGTGAGATCTGTGGTACATGTAGGACATACGGGACCTGCGAGACCTCAGACACTTATGGGACCTGTAAGACATTTGTGACTTGTGGGACCTGTTGGTCCTGCACGACATGTGGGACATGTGTGGCCTATGGGACACCTGCGGGACCTGTTGTAGACGTGGGGCGCGCAGGACCAGTGGGGCCTCTGAAACCTATGAAACCTTTGGGACCTGTGGAACGTGGGGGTCTTGCGGCATGGGAGACGTATCGGGTTTGTGGGGGGCGGGTCTGAATCTAGAGCCGCGAAAAAGTCACATCGTCGGATGCCTGGGAACCTTGCCCCCGGCCCTCGTCCCATCGCGGTTTGGTAGCCCCTTGGGGCCCCCAAGACGCACGGCCGCAGCGCGCAGCCCAAACAGGCAGCGCACATCGGCACAAACTCAGAGAGGGCTCGGGCACAGCCCTACATGCCGCCACGCTGGTCCCCGGCAGGTTGCGCTGCCCGGCGGAAGGGAACCAGGAGGGGAGAAGCAGGCGGACGACGACGAACGCCCAGGCGGGAGGCCAGTGCCAGCCAGCCGGGCGGGCGGGCAAGCAGAAGAGGGGCCAGGCGGAAACAGCAGGCAAAGAGCAGGAGGAAAGGAAAGGGGGTGAAGCAACGAGCAGAGGGGGAGGGAGGAGGAGGATAAGAAGGAAGGGAAGGGAAGCAACCGCAAGCAGACAGGCCAGGCCAGGGGCCGGGAGAGAAGAACCACCCGCGACGAAGCCACGGACCCCACGGCGGCGACCTGGGCGGGTTGGCCGACCGAGCCGGACACGCTGAGGGATCCATGCACCGCCCCGCCGAGGAAGGGCCGGGCGGCGCGGGCGAGGAGGTCGCCGGCGCGATGCTGGCGAAAGGGCGCGGGGGGCGCCCGTGCTGCCCAGCAAGGGCGGGGGGGTAGACGGGGGGCGCTAGGCAGCGCCGGGAGCACCTCACACGGCGTCCGCCGCGGAGGCAGCCTTGGCCGCGGCCAGGCGGGCCGCCGCCACCCCCGCCCCTCTGGAGGCGCCACAACACAGCCCGCGCGCTTTCCCTGCGCAGGGAGGCGGAAAGTCGCCGGGCGCGTTTGTCCGCAACTGGCGCGGCGTTTCCCCCGTGGCGTCAGCCACCCGCTTGGCCAGGACCCCGGAGGCCCGCGCGCCTCGCGACCCCACCCGCCGCCGTGGGTTTCCACCACCATGGGGATGAAGGTGAAGCCCTATGGCGCGCACAGCGGCGCGGTGTCTCGGCGCTGCATTGTGAACTCCTCGTACCGCTCCGTCGCCGCGCTCGACGAAGCGGCTGACGCGGCGAGAAGATCAGCGCGCAACCCAGACGTGGCGGCAAAGTCCCAAGCGGCCGCCGCGCCGTTGCGCCACCGCGGCAGGTAGACGTCGGCAGGGCGGCGGCCGTAGTCGTCCACCTGAGACCCGCTCTGCTCGCCCCCAGGGGTGGCCTCTCTGGCGGCGCGGGGTTGGCAGCCCCGGGCGTTCCAATTCCGCCCCGGCGTGGCCCGCGGCCCAGGGCGTCTTGGCGTTGTGGCGTTTGGTCCGATCGCCGCGGCAGGCGCAGACCAGGGCGTGGTCGCAGAAGACGTCCATCACCTCGCCACAGGCTGGGCAGAAGCACTCCTCCTGCAGGAGCTGGACTCGCAACCGCCTCTGCAGGCCGACCTGCATGAGGCCGCGCGGGAATGCGATGCTGGTGGCCTCGCAGGGCGGCGCCTGGAGCCACGCGGCAGCGCCCGGGGCCTGCACCAAGGAGAGGTGCGCCCTGCCGGCCAGGGTGGCGCCCGCTAGGTGCCCGTCGAGCGCGGCGCTGTCCACCGCGTCGGAGAGGGCCTTCTGATTGCCGTGCTGCGCGGTCGAACACCACCCGGTCGGCGTCCCGCACGACTGCGTTGTGAGAATTCCCTGGGGCGTCTTTTGAGAACGCCTTGGGGGCTTTGGGGGCCTCTTGGGGGTTTCTTGGGGGCCTCTGGGGTCGTCTCGGGGGCCCCATCGGCGGTCTCCGTGGCCATGTTGGGGGGAAAAGCTCGAAATATAAGTTCGGGTTGTCCTTTGGGCTGTATTGCGCGGTTTCTTGGGTTGTTTTGGGGGCCCTCTTCGCCCGATGTGGGGGCCTCTTGTGCCGTCTTAGGGCCCTCTGGACACCCACTTGGGCCGTCTTGGGGCGACCTTCGATATTCGATTCCTCCTCCTCCTCCTCCTCTTCCTCCTCCTCCTCCTCCTCCTCCTCCTCCTCCTCCTCATCTTCCTCCTCCTCTTCTTCCTCCTCCTCCTCCTCCTCCTCCTCCTGCCTCCTCCTTGCTCCCTCCTCCTCCCTCCTATTCCTCCTCCCTCCTCCCTCCCTGCCTCTCCCCCGGGGGAGCGCGTTTCACGTGCGGCCCTGATGGGAGGATTCGCAGAACGTCACGTCACCTCGTGTGGGTCGAACGTCTCCTCACACGGATCGTACCCCGCAGGGAGCTCCACCGACGGCCCCAAAGCCAACGTGTGCATCCCACCGCACCGCCCATGGCGGCACACCCCCGACCTGGATTGTGAGTTCGGGGAGGCCTGTCGTGGCCCCGCGGCGTGCCTGCGTGAGGCCTCTGGAGGCCGTGAGATGGATGGTGAATCGGGGTACTCTTGGAGCCTTTTGTGGGAGCACCGCGCAGGATCTCGACTCGAGACCTCCCATACTATCCTGGGAGCCTCCTGGGAAGCTTCCTGGGCGCCTTGTGGAAGCATTTTGGGGGGTCTCTGGAGAGCTCTTGGGCCTTCTTGGTGGTCCTTTTCGGGCTCTTTTGGGCCGCCCGGGGGCCGTCTTGGGCGGTCCCGGGGCCCTCCTGGGCCGTTTTGGGGGGCGTCGGCCGTCTTGGGGCCCTCTTGGAGCCCTCTTGGGCCGTTTTGGGGGGCGTCCCGCGGCCCTCTTGGGGCTCCCCGGGGACTCCGTTGGGAACATATGGGGCCCCTGTTGGGCCATCTAGGGGCTCTCTTGAGCCGTGTCGGAGCTCTCTTGAACTGTCTCGGGGCCCTCTTAGGGGCCTCCTGGGCCGTCTTTGGGCGATCTTGGGGGCCTCTTCGGCCTGTTAGGACCGAAGAAACGAATCTAGTAAAAAGAACCGCTTTCCGAAAGGATTGGGGCGATTTTTACCTGTTGGGGGCCCTTTGGGGGGCCTCTAGGGCTGTCTTGAAGGCTGCTGTGGCCGTCTGGAAGCCGTCTGGGGCCCTCTTGGAGCGCTCTTGGGCCGTCTTGAGGCCCTGTGGGTGCGCTCTTGAGCCATCTGGGGCCGTTTCGGTGCCGCTTGGAATCGGGACTGTCCGGGGCGGGCCAAAACGCGAGAAGGGGGCCCAGGAACCGCGAATTCAAGTTTCCGGCGCCCGTGGTGGGATTGATCGGGGGGGGGTATCCGGGGCCTCCCGGTACAAGAATATCTGAAGAGATCAATACATATATAATAGTACAGCGCATAATTGCAATAGCAGTAATCAGAATACGAGTTATACGAGTAATACGAATAACAACAACAATAACAATACTAGTAATACTAATACTAGTTAAAAATTATTTATTTTTTTTGTTTTTTTTAAAAAAAAAAACAAAAAAAAACTAATAATAATGATAATAATAATAATCATAATCATAATAATACATTAAAAAATAAATAAATATATAAATAAATAAATAAGACTGCGAATAAGAATCATGAGAATGATGCTAATAAACATAATAGTAATAAAAACAACAATAATCAGTCACACGAGTACTAATAATAATAATGCACATATATATGTGTGTATATAAACATATATATATATATATATATATATATATATATATGTGTATATATACTTACATACATACATACATACATACATACATACATACATGCATACATACATACATACATACATACATACATACATACATACATACATATACATACATACATACATACATACATATAGACCCTGCATGTGCTCGACGGGCCAGATGTATTACTCTCGCCAGCGGGCAACAATCTGTGTGTGCCGATCTCGCCGAGATACACACAACCAAGAGATACTGCACACGCACCTTGAAACTCTCGGGGAAACCGGTTCCACCAGACTCCCCCCCAAAAGAAACTAGACACATTCCAGGCAGCGGAATTCGTGTCCTTATAAAGCGGCGAAAAGAGGGTGGTTTGGGGCGGCAGGACGCGTAGCGAACGGAGACCGTGGGAGTCATGAACCACGATGTTATGGAAGCGGCCCTCGACGACATTCGGAGGCAGACATTTCGCATGTGAACAACGGCCAATGTATCCTTTGCATGTGCTCGACGGGCCAGATGTATTACTCTCGCCAGCGGGCAACGATCTGCGTGCGCCGATCTCGCCAACATACACACTGACAAGAGATACTGCACACGCACCTTGAAACTCTCGGGGGAACCGCCACCAGACTCCCAAAAACGCCTTTTGCCCAAAGGTAGCACCTGGTATGCCGTAAACAAGCCCACGCCCCAGGAGAAACACAGCTAAAACATCGTCACCCATTTGAGGTTAGACAGGATGGCGCTCGCATAGACTTTGAGGATTCCGTCAACCAGCTTGCGGGGGTAAGGCTCAGCTTTCTTCGTTCGATGCAACCCTGAGTCGTCGTGCCCCTGGAGCCACACATGCGGCCTCCCCGAGAAATCGCACACACACACACACACACACACACACACACACACACACACAGACACGCACACACACGAGCCCCAGAACACTTGAAAGGCAGGCTGGAGAGACAAACATTTGCAGAGACGACCCGGGCACGCTGTCTCCAGGGCATTCCACCAGCACAAGAATCAAGGAGGGCCACATCGATATCTGAGAGGCGTTAAATCTGCACCCAGGCAGGCAGGCACCAAATACCACTGGCATGAGGATTCTCGATTGTCACCGGAACGCCCATCGACCGAGCGAGGCGAAAAGAGCCCGCGGACAACGAACTCAGCTCGCTGGCCTCCTGGATCCTGGACAACGCGCGGTCGGGCAGTCCAGGGGCACCACCTGGGCACTGTCGAGACCTCCATCCTTCCCGGTTTGCCATCGAAAACGCGGCGCACGGGGTTCCGAGCCACGACGCTCTCACCAATTTCCAACGAATCCAGCCGCGGACGAGGCGAGCCGGATCCCGATTCGAGAGGTCGCAGGACGGACCGAAGCGGATGTCGATGGCAAACACAAGGATGCGGCGTAGACCAGGCGCAGATCGCCATGCGGCTGACCACCAGGCCTGCCTAGCAAAGAGCTCCAATCCAAATCCACCTCACGGAGTAGCGAGCAAGCTCGGGATGGCACGAGGATCATCGATGATAAACGGTCGGCGCGCCGCGCGGCCGCCTCCTGAGCGCGATCGTCTAGCCGCTGCAACTGCTCGTTGAAGCGGCCGGCCTTGACGTGCTGGTGGAAGGGCGAGTCCGACTGCCATCGACCCCGCTTCTTCACCCCTTCGATGTCGCCCCCGCCACCGAGGATCTCGCGGCCAGCGCCGCCGTGTCCCAAGTGGTACAAGGATATGGGCCGCAGGGCATCGATCGGCAGCGCGTTGACCGCCTGCTGGAAGTGGCCGCACCACTGCGGGTAGGTGAACCCGACGACGAAGTCCTCTGGACTGCCGCGGGCCGTGATCGCCTCGAGGACCTGGCTGACCCACAGGAACTCCGCATTGTCACGAAGCAGGCTCTCTTCGAACACGGCGGTCTTGCTCGGGGCGCCGCCTTCGATCGGGCTGAGGAGCACGCCCCACTTCCGAAGGGCGGCGGAGCCCCCGCGGGGCGGCGCCACCAGGTCGCGGCAGCGCACGCGCAGCAGCTCCGACGGGCAGCAGTAGAACACGAAGTTCAGCAGCGTCAGCCAGGCCGCATCGAGGTAGCCGAGGGCTAGCATATTGGCGATGATTAGCGCCACCACCGTCCACGGCAAGGGGGCCTTGCCTGGGACGGCGCTAGCTTTCCAAAGCCCTTCAGCGCCCGGCGCGCCCGCGGCAGCTCCAGAGCCCTGCGAGCGACTCGAGGATCGCAGAACACGAGGGCGGCCACAGCAGAGCCGAAGCTTTGTCCACGACCTCGCCGTTGAAGAAGATGTCGCGGAAGTAGGACACCACCGCGTGGTCCAGCTCGGCCGCCGCGCTGATCGGGAGCGCCGCGCTGCGGGCCCACTCGACGAAGGCCTGGGCCATCCCGCGGCACCTCACCTGCTGCGCTGGCCGCGCCGCGCTCTGCTCGTGCAGGGACTGTCCCGGGACTGGCAGCACCGGGGCCCGCGAATGCTGGCGGCCCCCTGACCGACGACGGTCGTCGCGTCGGGCGCTCTCCAGGGCTCCGCGACGGAGGGCGCCGCGAGGTGCCGTCGCGCGCCCGAGGCTGGAGGCCTGGCTGGGCTGCCAGGGGCGGACCGACGCTGCCGCCGGCCGCCGCCGCGCTGGGGCCAGGCCCGCGCGCGCCGAGCATGGGCGGCCCTCGCGGGCTGTCGGAGGCCACGCTGCCAGCGGCGCCGAGCCCGCCGAAGACGTCGCCGAGGAGGCGGCCAGCGGCTCGGACGCGACGCTCGCGGGCGTCGGCAGCAGCAGCGCCCCAGGCTGCCCCAGGCTACCGCAGCGCGCCCCCGCCGCGGCGGATCGTGCACCACTCCCTCGAGTCCCGGGGGAGGCCCCAAGCTTCGCTGGTTGGATGGCGGGTGCTCGAGCCAGTCGAACGCTGCGCGAGGGGGGGGTCACTAGCGGCGCGCTCTGAAGGAACCCATCGCCACACGTGGTAGGAGAACGACGCGAGAGACAGCGCAGCATTCTGCCGACAGATTCGCATCATCGCCTTCGTCGACGAGCGGCCCTTCGCCACGGCCAGGACGGGAGCCATGGAGTCCCCGACGCGGAGGTGACGACAGCCGAATGACGCCAGGAAACTGGCACATCGTTTAGTCGACCACACCATGGCCCGACCTTCGAGGCAAACCTGAGGCTCGGAGCGGGCCCGCGCTCGAGAAGTGACGAGGCACCACTCTCCATCCCAAACCGACGAGGGCACAGAGGGAAGGAGTCCGAGGCAGCGCCCAGCCCAGGCGACGAGGAGGACGCAACCCCGCGGTCTCCGTCGACCGCGGCCCCAGGCACCGAAGTCCCCGAGACCCCCCGGCGAGAGCGGTGGTCTTGGAAACGTCCGAGGCCAAGGCACCATCGGCGCGAGGCGAATCCACGAGGGGCGACGAGAGGCAGGGGGGCCCAGCAGAGCCACGAGCAGGACCCAGCCGGGACGACGAAGAAAGGGAGGCATCGGAGCCCCCATGCCGGGCGGCCATCAAGGCCGAATCACGCGGGCAATTTCTTTTCTTCGTCCCGGGTGAACCTCCAGCGCTCGTTCTGCTCACCTAAGTCGGCGACCACGAGGGGGTCCAACTCCTGAGTGCAGACCCCCAATCCCCAGCTTGAAGCGTCAACCACTGAGACCTCTGAAGACCAAGGGGCTGCCAGATCACGAACCGCACGAACGATGAGATGGCTGGCCCACAGGAATTCTCTTTTCACTGCCGGCCAGAGCGCCACCGCCGTTTCTCCAGCGTGCTCTATCAACGAGTAGGCTGCGTTGAAAACACACGGAAGCTCTCGACGAACCAACGCCCGGACACGAGAGTCTCAACAGTTTCCCCGAGGCGCAGCCTCTCCGAACAAGCTCCTGAAATCCCAACCAGAGTTTCAAGCAGGTGACCCGATTGATCGCAACCTCGGCTGAATCATCTGAGACAGTCCATCCTAGGGCAGTACCTCCTCTAGCGTGCTTCACCGGGTGCACAGGTAATTTGGCGCGAATCAGCTCGGCTGATATGGAGCGGGCGGCATCGCCAGCAGACTGCTGAGACTGACTGAGGGTTATGAAGTGATCAACCTGCTCTGCGTGTATCATAAATCGAAGGGGGGAGCAGGTCGGCCATCGAAGAGGGCGCTGTCTCTTCGGATGCCAGGGGCTCGCAGCGAGATACTCCAAGGTGTACTGCGCGATCCACAGGGGCAGCCCCCAGCCCATCGGGATAGCGGCGAACAAGGGGGCGATGTAGGTCGAAGGGGCAATTGAAACCCCACCCACTTCCGAGACGCCCACTTGCCCAGCCTGAACACGAAGAAGCCCAAAGAAACGCCAGAGCCCCTTCCGAAAGAGCTAAGTTGTAGAAAACGTTCGCCACGTCAACACCTGCCACACAAATAGTTCGCTGGAGTCGACTTGAACAGACGAGAACGAGGACCCATTCGACAAATGAACAGGATCGGAATCGTCGAACCAACAGCTCGAGATTCCCCCATCAATGATCACACGAAGCTCCCCAGACTTCCTGTGTGCTGCGAAGACCCCAACCGTTGCCTTTCATCCTGGCCCCCATTCCACCTAGCCAGCCTCCCGGAGCCGCTTAAGGACCGAGGCGCGTAAACGCGGGGAGCGCCTAAGAGCAGGGTCAGCACGCGGCCTGCGGAGGCCATCGAGGGCCATATTCTCGCGCGCAAGGAGTTCAGGGAAAATATCATTTGAAAGCTTCTCGGCCAAAAGGTCGCCCTCCAGACCCAGAAGAGCCCCCAAAGGCTTCGGGAAACTTCCGGGTGTCGGCAGATCGAGGAGGCAGACGTTGTCTGGGCCGATCGGCGCCAGGGTAGCCGGTTCACCACCACGCGCGCGCCGGGCGCAGAGCTCACAATAAGTGATCCCGCGCCGGAGAGATGGGGAGGAGGGAGCCCAATGCGATCCACCGCGCGACGGATGAGGCGGAAGGCCTCGCACTGAGCCGCACTAGGATAGGCAGGCCCCACCCCGGCAGGCCCCACCCCCACAGGCTCCCCGTAGAAAAAAACTGATGGAGACCCGAGGCGATACCCTGACAAAGCTGACCCGAGCGGGCCCGACGAAGATGACGCCGCGAACTGACAGGGGCAGAACTGGCGAGGCAGGACCCACCTCAGGCAAGCAGTGGAGAGGGAGAGGACGGAGGTCACGCTGCCGCTCAGCACTCGAACCGAAAGGCAAGCCAAAAGAAATAGGACACCGCGTCGTAGTGCGGTCGATCGCCTCTCGGTCTGGCATCACCCGGGCCGCTGCTTGAAGTCGTCACTTTGAGGAGCGCAGCCCGCTCCTCCTTGGCTTTTCTGACCTGTTTTAGAATCGCTGCATCCTTCTCGACTTCCCGGGCGACATGGCCCAACAAAGCGGGACACATCATTGCTGATCCGGTGTCATTGTTGAGGCCAGAGAAGATCGCAGCCTAATCCATCAGCCCGACGAAGGTCACGGTCGAACTGTTGAGCTTCTTATCCTTGTTGCCACTCTTCTCGGTGGCGCCCATCGAGTCCATCCAGTAGACGTCTTCTGTGAGCTGAGCCTTCCGCATGAGGGATTCGATGCCAGCCAGAACACAGATGTTGACCCCGTCGTAGCAAGCCGTCTCCTCAAGAACACGGAGAGCTGTCGCATGCATCTCGACCCCCCAAGAGTCCGGGTTGAGCGAGAACACGCTAACAAACTGCCGATGATGAGCCACAAGAAACGAAGAGCGGCGGCCCAACCACTCAGCACACCACATCACCGTCCGAGGGCCTGACTGTCCACGTCGAGTACGGGCTCTCGCCCAGCTCCTTGCAGACGTCGCTCCAGCCGCGGCGAGGCCGCGCGAGCACGTGGGCCGAGCCGTCCAAAATCCGCGGGTCTCGGACCGACCCCAGCGCCGCGAACACCCCGGCGTCCATGGCGTGGATGCTCCGCACGGCCACGCTGAGGCCAGACGGCGTCTGCACGATCGCCAGGTCACCCCGCACCACCGCGCTCGCCGGGAGCAGGACCGTCTTGCCCCGCTGGGCGAAGGTCGTGCTCTCGATGGCCACCCAGTTCGGAGCCTCGGCAGCAGGTGCGCCGACAGCGACTCCAGCCACCGCAGCAGCAGGCGCCGCCAGGCCAGGCGCCGCGGGCCGCAAGGCTCCGGCGCTGGCGCCAAGCGCCACGGGCGCGGGTCCAGCAGCGGCAGCGCCGCCGACGCCATCGGCGGGCAGGGGCACCAAACAGCTGGCCGCAGGCGCCACAAACGGTTGGCCCGCCACAGCCGCCTCGGCCGCGAGCACCGCCGCAGCGTAGGTCTCACCAGCCGCCTGGTAGGCCGTGATCTCCGCAGCAGTCGGAGCACGCCTGAAGCGGTAGAGGTCCTGAGCAGTGATCCCAGGAGGCCGGCTTCGAGCCGAGGACACACGAATGGCCGCGATGTCGGCTGACCTGCCCGAGTAGTCCTCCTCGTGCACGTCCCCGTCAGGCCTGCAGATGACGAGGCGCCACTCCTGAATCGGAATCGGGGCCGGTCGCCGCAAGCGACCCAACGCCAGACGCTGATGCCAGAGCGGGTCGCCGACGCAAAGGACCCACAGCCAGCGGTCGGGCTGCTGAGCCGACATCTGGTGTCGTGGTGGTCTCAGTCGGCACCCGCCGCGGCCAGCTCAAGCGCCAGGCTGCAGACACCAGGCAGCTGGCACTCACGCCGACGATCACCCCAAGCAGGAGGGCGAGCGCGAGCCACTCGGTGCCCGCTCCGTCGGGACCGACGGCCTCGTCCTGAGAGGCTGCGGCCGCAGGGCACTCCTGCACGATCGGCGCCGGTGCTCCTGGGCAGGTGGGGCACGCCGCGCAAGGAGGGCACGGGTGCAGGGTCGGCCAGCCAGGGCAATCGGGGCAGGGCGGCGCCGATGGGCACCGCGAAAGGTAGGATACAGTAATCTGGGACGCGTATCCGAGAAAAGGGGCGATGGCTGCCAGCATGGGGCGTGGGCCCGTTCAGTCTGGAGCAACGGTGTTATGGAAGCGGCCCTCGACGACATTCGGAGGCAGACAATTCGCATGTGAACAAAGGCCAATATATGTGTGAGAGAGAGGGAGAGAAAGAGAGAGTGAAAGAAAACAAAAACAAAACAAAAAACGCAGCGAGAAGAGAAGGTACGACAAGAGAGGAGGGGAAATTGAGAAAGCGAGAGAGGAACAAGTAAGAGAGAGAGAGAGAGAAAACAAAGAAAATGATGAAGAGGCAGAGATCGAGAGAGACACAGACAGACAGACAGACAGACAGACAGACAGACAGACAGACAGACAGACAGACAGACAGACAGACAGACAGACAGACAGACAGACACACAGGCAGACAGGCAGGCAGGCAGGCAGGCTGGCAGGCAGGCAGGCAGGCAGGCAGGCAGGCAGGCAGGCAGCAGGCAGGCAGGCAGGCAGGCAGACAGAGATGGTGGCAGAGGCAGGGACAGAAGAAGACAGGGGAGGAGGAAAAAAAGAGGAATGGAAAAAGGAGGGGGAAGAGAGAAGAGGGAAAGAGGAGGCAGTAGAAGAGGAAGAGGAGGAGGAGGAGGAGGAGGAGGAGGAGGAGGAGGATGGGGGGCCACGGGCGGGATGGCGAAGGAGCAAAGCTGGGGACGGATGGGGAGGAGGGGCAGGAGGACGAGCAGAACGATGAGGAGCAGGATGAGAGGAAGGAGGAAAGGGAGGAGGGGGAAGGAAAAAGGGGAGGAGGAGGAGGAGGAGAAGAAGTGGAAGGGCGAATGATGATGATGATGATGATGATGATGATGATGATGATGATGATGATGATGATGATGATGATGATGATGATGATGATGATGATGATGATGATGATGATGATGATGATGATGATGATGATGATGATGATGATGATGATGATGATGATGGTGACGATGATGAGGAGGAGGAGGAGGAAAAAGGCCCGCCTGGGTGTGCTGCATCGTCCGCATGAGGATGCGCAGCTCCCTGCCCTGAGTCGCGCTGGGACCGTGCGGAGGCGTTCCCTCTCCCATCGGGCATCCGCTCTCGGGAAAGGGGGAGCGGGGGAGCGGAGGGGGGAAGGAGGGGGAAGTTGATGGGAGAAGGGAGGAAGAGTTCCTAGCCACCTCCCCCGGTCCTTCGCAAGGGGGGAGGCTGAGGGGGCACGCGGTAGAAGAGCGAGAGAGAGAGAGAGAGAGGAGGGGAGCAGAAAGCGGAAGGATCCTAGATGGCCTTGGCTGGACATCGAAGGGGGGCAAGGGTTCAACTGGCTTCTGCTGAGTGTGTCTTGAGGGCCTCTCGCGGGGGAGACGGGAGAGGCAGGCCGACCTGCTTCCAGCGCGCGGCGCGGCGGGCACGCTCTTGCGCGGCTGTCGGTCAGATGCCAGGGCAGGGCCGCGGCGAGAAAGGGGGCGGGGGGAGGTAGAGAAGGGGGGAGGAAGGAGGGAGAAGGGGAAGAGATGGGGGAGGAGGGCGACCGCGACAAGACCACGAGGACGGCGAGGCAAGCGGCGACAACCATGACGAACACGACGACGACGACGACGACGACGACGACGACGACCTCCAAGAGAAGATAGACGAGGGAGGGGGCGGCCACGGCCCGCACGGCCAGCGGCTCACCCTGCCAACCAATTCGCCACTCGGCTACCCGGCCCAGCCGCGCAGGCGACCGTAGACAAGGGGGTCGGCTGCAGGGGGCGGGGCGCTGCAAACAGGCAGAGCACAGGTGGAGAGATCGACCGCGCAGCGCACGCGTGGGGGGAAGCGAGCTGCCTGGTGAGGATGGGGAAGAGGAGGAGGAGGAGGAGGAGAAGGAGGAGGAGGAGGAGGAGGAGGAGGAGGGGGAGGAGGAGGAGGAGGAGGAGGAGGAGGAGGAGGAAGAGGAGGAGGAGAAGCTGACATTGCCCATGGCACATCCTCCGCAAGTGTGTATTCGAACATGGGTGTGGCGTTGTCGAGTGCCTTTTCCGAACACAGGGACGGACGAGCGAGGGAAGAGGACAGGAGAACTCACCACAGCACAAGAGCTCCCGACGCTGCCTGGAAGCCCTCGGCACAGTTCACGAGCCTCAGGAGCTGCTCCGCGGTGCTCAGCTGGTACTTCACGCCCCCCGCCTCGGAGCACCGACGCAAGCCGATCCGCGGCTCGATCCCCGGCTCGGCCCGCAAGGCACGTACAGCGGGGGTGGGGAAGTCTGGCGATCGGGGACCCTGTCGACCAAGACCATCACAATCGATCGACAGATCCACCGCCCTCCTCCTCCTCCTCCTTCGGAGCCCCTGGAGCCTCGGGAGGATCTCGGGCCTCTGGAGCCTCTGGAAAGCCCGATCCGCACGACGCCAAAAACAGTTTCTGATAAAGTATGTATGTATCGTGCCGAGGAGGGTTTCGCGCACAGGGAGCAGGCGCACGACGAGCACCTTCGCTGAGGTCGCTGAGAGCCCTGGTGCCCCACGCCCCGGCACTCTCTGATGGGCAGGGCGCGGCCGGACCCCTGACCTGGTCCCCTCGCGCACTTGCCACACCATGAAATGTGCAATAGTATTGGAGGCTCGGATATGGGCACCAACACCAGGACAGGGGGTTGCCTCCACAGGGGGAAGGTGATCCTAGACTTCGGTGTTGGTGGTAATATTTCGGTCTTGTTCCCTCGGTAAAGGCACACCGCCGATATTGGTGTTGGTGTCAACCTCGAGGCCTGCGATAATACGTACTACCCGCCACCCACAGCTTGTGGGACGGGTGGAATCTGGCCCCCATCCTGTGCTTGCCTGGGCACGGCTGGGCTACGAATTTGGGACCTACGCAGAAAACAAAGACCTCAAAGTCGGCAGCCGTACAGGCCCCCTTCCGTGTGAAGGAGGTGCCTACTACCAATCTTGACGAGTCTGCTCGTACAAATGAGTGCTGGCCCATTTGCACCTGGATAAAATCCTCAAAGTTTCTGGTTGACCTTATCCAGCTTGGCTACATAAGGAAAGCTTGTCGTGCTACGCTACCACAGGGTGTAAACGAGGATTCTGGTGAGCTTGGCGCCGCACTCCTTGGCCACCCTGAGATTATCGTGAAGCTGGGGGTCCTTGGGTGACGGTCAGCTCCTTTCTTAACATACTTATCGACCGAAACATTCTCAGGGAAGCATCTGTGTTCTAGTGTTGTGCGAAGGCATCCAGACCGTGTCGATATTCGAAACTACAATATCATCAAGCGTCCGCACAAATTCCCGAGTTTCGAATTAGGTATGGGACGGGTTGCGCATGACCCCGGGTCCTTTCTGAAGTCCGATCAAAGAGTTACGGTGATCACTAACACTCGTGGCCGATGCTTCCATCATAAACAAGCTCATGAATACAACGCGGTGCTCGGCCATGCCGGCCGCCCGCCCTCTTCGTCTTCGATCGTACACCCTTGGTGGCATTTCTTCCTTACCTGCCGTGCGTAATTGGTGCAGCCAGTGAATCAGGGGAAGAGAGGACGCATGGAAGGGGGAGGGAGAAGGATGGAGCACGGGATTAGCAGGAGGGGGGCTAGGAGCAGAAAACACGTGGCAGAAACAGACGGGACCATCGGGCGGGCAGACCCTAGCGGCGGGTCGGGAAGGCGGGCCCAGGCGGTCAGGTCAAGAAGGCGAGTTGCTGAAGCGTGAGTCCTGCACGAATCGCGAAAAAGTGTCGAGCGAGAGCGCGACTCCAAAGTGAATCGTGGGAAAGGCCACAGCGAGAGCGTCATTCCTGAGTGTCGACGGCGCGGCGTCCGAATGAAAGGCGAGGAAATCACACGCGAGAGAGCGATTGCTGCCTGCAGAAGTTGTGAGGAAATCCTGCGCGAGAGCTCGCGTGTTGAATACACTGTGGGGAAAATCAAGTTGGAGCCGTTGTTCTTTAGTTCGGTGCCCAGTGACGCAGTTTGAACACGAAGACATTTCCTTATATCAAAGAAAACCAGGTGCGAGCCCTGAGGAAGGCACTTCAAGTGAAAAAACACAATGGGCACCGGCGAGGGGGATCGACAATAATCACTCGTCAAAGGTGAGAGTTCATCATCACTAACAACAACAATCGCGACAACAACCACAACACGAACACGAACACGAACACGAACACGAATACGAACACGAACACGAACACGAACACGAACACGAACAACAACAACAACAACAACAACAACAACAACAACAACAACAATAACAACAACAACAACAACAACAACAACAACAACAACAACAACAACAACAACATTCAGTTTACCCTCATACGCGATGTTTCCACACGAAGCATGCGACCATCATGATAACCATCCCCATCATGGGGGATCATTGTTTTATAGCGGGGTCCGTTATTCCGATTCCCAAATATCCAGCCCAATGAAGTCTTGCAAACACCTCGAAAACGCATACCCGCGCCTTGCTGCGCCGATGCAAGACGGCCAGTGGAGCCCCAGCCAAGGGTAAAGCACAAGAAAGTATCGAGCGACAGGATTGCCTTGGTGGAGACGGGGGCTGTCGGCGGCGAAGCAATGAACTGGCCCTGAATAGAAAGGGAAACAGTCTCGAGTAGGGCCGCTGCTGTTGCTAGGAATGGCGCCAGTGCTGAAGAGAGTAGGGCGCTAGTCCAGCGTAACACGAAACGAAATCTCGAGCGGGAATGTTGGTGTTGTTGGGACGGCGGTTGTCGGCGGCGAGGAGGAACACCTCCTTGAGTAAGAAGGGAGGAGGTCTCGAGCGGGAGCCGTGGTTTTGTCGGGACGGGGGCTGTCTGCGGCGAGGAACAGCACCGTCCTGAGGAAAAAGGGAGGAAGCCTCGAGCGGGAGCGTTGTTCTTGCTGGGAGCGGCGCCAGTGCAAAAGAGAGTAGGGCGACAGTCCAGCGTAAAAGTGGAGAACGTCTCGGGCAGGAGCGCTGGTTTGGTCGGGGCGGCGGTTTTCGTCGGCGAGGAGGAGCACCGCCTTGAGTAAAAAAGGAAGACGTCTCGAGCGGGAGGGTTGTTGTTGCTGGGGGCGGCGCCGATGAGAGAAAGAGTAGCGCGCCGATCCAAGGTAAAACGGGAGGAAGTCTCGAGCGGTAGCGCTGGTTTTGTTGGGACGGCGGCTTTCAACGGCGAGCAGGAGCACCGGCCCTGAGTAAAAAAGGAGGAGGTCTCGAGCGGGAGCGTTGTTGCTGTTGGGGGGCCGGTCTTGGCGCCCCCCCAAAACGCTCGAGCGTGAGTCTCATTTTCAATGTAAATGTGGCCGGCGCCGATGCGAGAGCGCCAAGGCGCCTGAGGGGATCCAACAATAATTATCGTTTAGTAATTAACATTCAACAATATCAGCCAGCGTTGACTTCAAATCTATAGATGGACAGGAGAAGAGCGAGAGAAGGAGAAGACGAGGAGGAGAGGACGGGAGGAGAGGAAGCCAAGCATGATTGGAAATAAAGGAGGAGGCCATTGGCAAAAGGAGGGGGGAGGGGGGGGGGGCATTGGAAATAAGGGGGGGTGCCATTGGAAAAAGGGGGGTCCTAAAGACCAATCAAATATGATAAGCTAGGACTCCTATAGGGCAAGCATATTTGGAGATCTACTACTACTACTACTACTACTACTACTACTACTACTACTACTACTACTACTACTACTACTACTACTACTACTACTACTACTACTACTACTACTACTACTACTACTACTACTACTACTACTACTACTACTACTACTACTACGACTACTACTACTACTACTACTACTACTACTACTACTACTACTACTACTACTACTACTACTACTACTACTACTACTACTACTACTACTACTACTACTACTACTACTACTACTACTACTACTACTACTACTACTACTACTACTACCACTACTACTACTACTACTACTGCTACTACTACTACTACTACTACTACTACTACTACTACTACTACTACTACTACTACGACTACGACTACGACGACTACTACTACTACTACTACTACTACTACTACTACGACTATTACGACTACTACTACTACAACTACTACCACTACTACTACTGCTACTACTACTACTACTACTACTACTACTACTACTACTACTACTACTACTACTACTACTACTACTACTACGACTACTACATAATTTCTTGACCTGCCACGCGTAATGTGTGCAGCCCCCGAAACAAGAAAAAAGAGGACGGGTTTAAAAGGAGGTAGAAGGATGGAGCACGGGATTAGCACGAGGGGGGCCAAGAGCAGAAACCACGTGGCAGAAACAGACGGGACCATCGGGTGGGTAGACCCTAGCGGGCGGGTCGGGAAGGCGGGCCCAAGCGGCCAGATCGAGAAGGCGGGTTGCTGAAGCGTGCGTCCTGCATGAATCGCAAGGAAGTCTCGAGCGACAGCGCCATTCCCGATTAAATCATGAGAAAGGCCACAGCGAGGGCGGCATTCCTGAGTGTCGAGGGCGCGGCGTCTGAAAAAATTGCAAGGCTGTCCCACGCGAAAGCAGGATTTCTGTATAACTTGTGAGGAGGTCCCGCGCGAGAGCGCGATGTTGGAATAATTGTTGGGAAATATCAAGCGGGAGCCGTTGTTGCTGTAGTTCGGGGTTCAACAACGCAGTTTGGTGACGGAAGCACTTGAATTGGAAAAATACAATGGTTACCGCAAGGGGTGGATCAACCATACTTAAAATGTACCAAATGAAAACTCAACAACAAGAACAACAACAGCAACAATGATGTTAAGACTGTTCGCTCTGATCTGCTCGAATGTCATTCAACGTGTATTTCCCATACCCTCGATACCCCCCTTTTCGTCTTCGATCGTACCCCTTTTAGGGGGGGTGTTTTTCTTCCCTGCAAGCCGGGCCCCGACAAGCGGCGGGGCGGCCGCGGACCCTCGGCCTGGCCAGCGGCAGCAATGATCGGCGGCAACCCGACCCCAAGAGGGACGGACATGGGACCGACCACGACGACGACGACGACGACGACGAGCGAAAGCGAGAGCGAGAGCGAAAGCGAGAGGGAAAGCGACAGCGGGGCCACGAAGGGCAGGAAGGGGGCCACGAAGGGCGACAGCGGGGCCACGACGGGCATGCGTATGGAGCCACGAAGGGCGCGAACGAGCGGGGGCCACGAAGGGCAGATAATGTGTGGCCACAGAGGGCAACGACGGGGCCACTGAGGGTAGGAACGGGTCCACGTAGGACAGCGAGGGGGCCACAAAGGGCAACAGCGGGGCCACGAAGGGAATGCAAATGGGGCCACGATGGGCGCGAACGAGCGGGGGCCGCGAAGGGCATACGTATATTGGGCCGCAAGGACGGGGCCACTCTGGGCAGCAACGGGGCCACGAAGGGCAGCGAGGGGGCCACGAAGGGCAACAGCGGGGCCACGAGACGCATGCATATGGGGGGCCACGAACGGACGCGAACGAGCGGGCCACGAGGACCAGTGATACATGGGGCCACGAAGGGCAGCGAGCCGTTATCGTTGTATCAGGCGGGAGCCGCTACTGCTGTAACTCAGAGTCCAGGGGCGGAATTTGGTGACACCCAGCTTTCTCGAATAAGAGTCAGGGTACGAGTCCTGGGAGGAGCACTTTATTTGAAAAGTACAGAAAGGTTACGGGCGGGATCAACAATAACTATTGCATAGACATGTGACGCCAACAACAATAACAACAACCACAACAAGAAGAACAACAACAACAACAACAACAACAGCAACAACAACAACAACAGCAACAACAACAGCAACAACAACACGAACAATGACAACACCACCAACAACAACAACAACCACAACAACAACAACAACAACAACGACAACGACAATGACAACGAACACGACAACGATAACAACATCAACAACAACGACAACAATAATAACAATAATTTTAAGACTGCTCGCCCTTATCTGCTCGAGTGTCCAATAACGCGTATTTCCCATACCCTCGATACACGCCCTCTTCGTCTTCGATGGAACCCCTTTTGGGGGGTCAACCTTTCTTCCCTGCAGGCCGGGCCCCTGCAAGCGGCGGGGCGGCCGCGGACCCTCGGCCTGGCCAGCGGCAGCGCTGATCGCCGGGGCGGCCGCGGACCGTCGACCCGACCCCAAGGGGGATGGACAGGGGACCGACCACGGCGACGACGACGACGACGACGACGTCGACGACGACGGCGACGACGACGACGGCGACGACGACGACGAACACGACGACGACGAGCGAAAGCGCGAGCGAGAGAGAACGACAGCGGGGCCACGAAGGACACGAAGTAGGCCACGAAGGGCGACAGCGGGGACACGAAGGGAATGCGTATGGTGCCACGAAGAGCGCGAACGAGCGGGGGCCACGAAGGGCAGATAATGCGGGGCCACAGAAGGCAACGATGGGGCCACTGAGGGTTTCAACTGGGCCACGTAGGACAGTGAGGGGGCCACAAACGGCGACAGCAGGGCCACGGAGGGCATGTACATGGGGCCACCACGGGCGCGAACGAGTGGGGGCCACGAAGGGCATACATATACGGGGCCAAGAAGTGCAGCGAGGGGGCCACTCTGGGCAGCAACGGGGCCACGCAACAAAGCGAGGAAGCCACGAAGGGCTGCGACGGGCCCACAAAGGGCTGCAACGGGGCCACGAAGGGCAGCGAGGGGGCCACGAAGGGCTGCAACGGGGCCACGAAACAAAGCGAGGGGACCACGAAGGGCTGCAACGGGGCCACGAAGGGCAGCGAGGAGGCCACGAAGGGCTGCAACGGGGCCACGCAACAAAGCGAGGGGGCCACGAAGGGCTGCAACGGGGCCACGAACCAAAAAGAGGGGGCCACGAAGGGCTGCAACGGGGCCACGAAGGGCAGCGAGATCCCGACTCCTAGGTCATCTGTGAGGGAGTCCTCAGCGTGAGCGCGACTCCAGGGTGCCTGGGTGTCGGGAGCGCGGCGCTCAAATAAATTGCATGAAATTCCAGGGCGCTGTTCGTGATTAAATTGCAAGTACGTCTCCAGCGAGGGCGCGACTTCAGAGCGCCGGGAGAGCGATTCCTAAATAAATTGCAAGAAAGTCCCAAGCGAGAGCGCGAATCCTGAATCAAATGCGATGAAGTCTCGGGCGGGAGCGGGGGTCCTGGCTAAATTGTAAGGAAGTCTCAAGCGGGAGCCGTTGTTGTTCTAACCCGGGGGCCAGGGGCGCAGTTTGAGCATCAAGACTTCCCCTAACAAAAAAACAGGGTGCGAGCGTCGAGGGGCACACTTTGATTGAGAAAAACAATATGCACTGGTGAGGGGGGATCAACAACTGGACTCTGGAATTATCCCAGTGCGACCGTACCTAGGAGTTGGAGCCCCTAGGAAAGCAGCATTAGTAGTAACAGCAAAGCTAAACTCAAGCCAAGCTAAAGTTAAGCTAAGTCTAAGCTAAAGTTAAGCTAGAGCTAAGCTAAAGCTAAGCTAAAGCTAAGCTAAAGCTAAGCTAAAGCTAAGCTGCAGGTAAGCTAAAGCTAAGCTAAAGCTAAGACACAGCTAAGCTACAGCTAAGCTAAAACTAAGCTAAAGCTAAGCTAAAGCTAAACTAAAGCTAAGCTAAAGCTAAGCTAAAGCAAGCCGAAGCTAAGCTGAAGCTCAGCTAAAGTTAAGCTAAAGCTAAAGCTACGCAAAAGCTAAGCTAAAGCTAAGCTAAAGCTATGTTAAAGCTAAGCTAAAGTAAAGCTAAAGCTAAGCTAAAGTTAAGCTAAAGCTAAGCTAAAGCTAAGCTAAAGCTAAGCTAGAGCTAAGCTAAAGCTAAGTTAAAGCTAAGCTAAAGCTAAGCTGCAGGTAAGGTAAAGCTAAGCTAAAGCTAAGCCACAGCTAAGCTACAGCTAAGCTAAAACTAAGCTAAAGCTAAGCTAAAGCTGAACTAAAGCTAAGCTAAAGCTAAGCTAAAGCTAAGCTGAAGCTACGTTACAGCTAAGCTAAAGTTAAGCTAAAGCTAAGCTAAAGCTAAGCTAAGGCTAAGCTAAAGCTAAGCTAAACTAAGCTGAAGCTAAGCTAAAGCTAAGTTGAAGTTTAGCTGAAGCTAAGCTAAAGTTAAGCTAAAGCTAAGCTACAGCTAAGCTACAGCTAAGCTACAGCTAAGCCACGCTAAGCTAAGATGAGATACGATAAGCTAAGATGAGCTAAGCTAAGCTACAGCTACAGCTAAGCGAAGCTATGATGAAGCTAAGCTAAGCTAAAGCTAAGCTACATCTAAGGAACAGCTAAGCTAAAGCTAAGTTAAAGCTAAGTTACAGCTAAGCTAAAGCTAAGCTAAAGCTAAGCTAAAGCTAAGCTAAAGCTAAGCTAAAGCTAAGCTAAGATGAGATAAGCAACGCTAAGCTAAGGGGACGTACCTGGGGGAACCGCGGGGCGGGGACTGGGGGAATCGCCCGGGGCGTTTTCCACTGCCCGCCCCTTTAAGCAAACAAAGTAAGAACCCTCTAGGCAGAGCCTAGGTAGGGAATGAGAGTTCAACAACAAGAACAACAACTACAACAATAATCAGTTTGATAGTGGTTGCTCTTATCTGCTCGCGTGCCATTCAATAGGTATATCCCAAACCCTCGGCACCCGCCTTCTTCGTCATCGATCATACCCCCTTTAGGGGCTTATATCATTTGCCTGCCAGGTGCATGTAGTGAAGACCCTGAAACATGGGAAGAGAGGACGGATGGAAGGGGGAGGGAGAAGCATGGAGCACGAGAGAGATTAGCCGTGGCAGAAACAGACGGGCCCATCGGGCGGGCAGACCCTAGCGGGCGGGTCGGAAAGGCGGGCCCAGGCGGTAGGGTCGAGAAGGCGGGTTGCTGAAGCGAGAGTGCTGCATGAATCGCGAGGAGGTCTCGAGCGATAGCGCGATTCCCAAGTAAATCGCAAGAAAAGCCCAAGCTAGAGCGTGATTCCTGAGTGTCGAGGGCGCGACGTCTGAATAAATTGCTCGAAGTCCCACGCGAGAGCGCGATTCCTGCATTGCGAAGAAGTGCGTTTTGGAATAAACCGTGAGGAATTACCCGGCGGGAGCCGCTATCGTTGCAAACCCAGGACCAACAACATAGTTTGGTGACACCAGATTTCCCGTGATCAAAAAACACCGTGCGAGCCCCGGAAGGAGCACTTGAAATGAAACTTGAAACAAAACTGTGGTCACCAGAGGGGGGATCAACAATAATCATGAGAGTTCAACATATCCTCCTCCTCCTCCTCCACCTGTTCCTCGTCCACCTGTTCCTTTTCCTCCTCCTCCTCCTCCTCCTCCTCCTCCTCCTCCTCGCTCCCAGAAGACGACGGGGGCCGAGCTTCGAACGATCGGCGACCTGCTCGGGCCCGAGCTCGCGGCTCCAGGAGCCGTCCGACCGGTCGCCCGCCGCCCAGAACGTCGCTGGCCCGCCCCCCGGCCTGGGCGATCTCGCTCGCCGAGCCCCCGCCGACGGCCCGCAGGGGGGCGCTCCGAGCCCGCCGCCGAGGACGTCGCGGGGCCGCACTCGTCGATCAGCGAGTCGGCGAGCACAGACTCCAGGTTGCCCAGCGCCCTGGCGCGGTGGCGTGGGAATCTCGACTGGAGGAAATATGTGGGGCCCAACTCTGGGACATACGACGGAAGGGCCCTCTACCATGCGTAAGAAGTAAGCGAGGTTCGAGGCACCCCGAGGGCAACCGAACCCAGACAGGAACGGTCGGCAGCAGGTGTGCAACCACACGCCCAACTCGACGCAAGACTGTTACGCAGTTCCATCCTGCATCTCCTTTGCAAGGATGCGCTGCACTACACTTGCACATGGCGTTATGGTTCGGGGCGGCCCAAGTCACCTGGGCGTTTGGACCAGTCAGCGACAGCAGCGGTAGGCGACCAGCAGAAAGACGTACATCGGAACACGGGCCTACTTGCCAGTGACCGCCGCGTTCCCAACTGACAAACGCGATACTTTCGCACTATTTTGAAACATTCCCTAAAGAAGCCCTCTCCGAGCGGCTAGGCACCAGAGCTCGAATGATCGGCGGCTCATGCCGCAAGGGATGGCCTGGGGCTTCTGCCGCTGCGACCAGGGTGCGCTGTCGCTGCCGCTGCCAGGAGGACCCGTGCTGCACTGGCCCGAGTATCCTGCCGCAGGCATCCGCCGAGTGCGCGAGGTCGGACCTTCGTCGACGAGAGAGGCCCCCCTGCTGGAGAGCTCCACTCTGTGCTGCTCTTCGGCCGCTGACCCCGCGACCTGCTGCAGACGCGTGGGCCCCTGGAGCTCTCGACGCCGTCGCCGGCACGCATGCCTGTCGCCAGCGATGCTGCTCACGACGCCGACGCCCACAAACGGCCTTGGGAAGCCGAGGCAGACGCGCGACCGTGCTCCGACGGCGCCTGGGAGTCTGGGGCTCTTCGGTCGCTTCCTTGTCGGCGCCCCCGCCCGGGCCTGGCCGCCGGCCGTCGGGAGCGTCCACGAGGGGGGCGCGTCCGAGGGAGGGCTCGCGAGAATCGTTGCCCCAGGCACGCGCGCGTCCAACGGGGACGCCTGGGGGGAAGAGGGGGCCGTGGAATCCAGGGGGACATCATGGGCCCGGCCATGATGTCCACCCTTCCCCTACCCCTCGGTCGGAAGACGTAGGCAGAACCATGAAGTAGGAGGGCGTTGAAAGTAGATTGTGCGTCCGCCCGCCCTCCAAAGAGGGCGGGAAAGGTGAAGCCACTCGATCGTTGAAGCAGGAAGGCGCTCAAAGTAGATTGAAACCTGCCAGACATACATACTTTCAACGACCGATGGGTACTCAGCACTCCGCGCGTGATAAAATGCTCAGAAATAATCCCCAAACAAATAAACCATAAATGCTCAGAAATTGTCCAAAAATCCTAAAATCGTCCCCAGACTATGTGGGTACTGTTTTTGAATATGCCTCCTGTAGAGGGGAAGGCCCGACTTACCCCTACTCAGCACTCCGCGCATGGCCGCCCCCGAATCCTGGCCTGGCCTCCGCGCGGAAACCGCTCGGCCGGGGCCGGCCTGATCGCCAGCCCGGTCTGCCTGAAGGCCCCCGGCTCCGACAGGTGCATCACGGCCCGGAGGTGCTCGGCCTCCACCAGCGACAGGGCCACGAAGTGCCGGTTCTTCTGCAGCTTGAAGAACGTCTGCGTCGACAGGTCGTCCTCGACCTGCTTCAGCGAGAGCTTCGTTCGGCCCTCCTTCCAGAGGGCAGGAAGTCGGCAGCGGCACGAGGAAGGAGCAGGTTGAGGAGTCGAAGAGGAGTGTTGCTAGAAGGGAGGCTGGGGGAGGACAGGCTCTGCTGACATGGCGGAGATGGAGCACGAGATGAGCACTCAGAAGCCTGAGGCGGCACAGATCGGGGAGGCTGTCACCTGCACGGTCGCAGACGTCAAGGACCTCCGCAACATCTTTCTGGGCGACAAGCCGATCGCCGCTCTGCCAACATGAGCATCGTTTAACCGATCCCCATCCCCACCAGCGTAGGCTGGGCCCCACTGGCCGATTTACCCCCCTGATGGGGATATAAGCTGCTCTCTTCGGGTTTCGAGGGGTGTATCCCCAACTGGGGTGGTAATTTCGTGGGGGTCTCGAAGGGGATGGGGGTCGGTTAAACGATACTGAAGGGGGTCAACCTGCCGCTGGCCACCCAGCTGGAATGCCAAATGGTCCGCCAGCCTGCCAGCCGGCTCTCCGGCTGGAGCCCGCATATGCCAGCGGCCGGCCAGGGGCGCGCAACCCCGCGCGACCTGTTGGTGCGGGTCGCGCCGCCGCAGCCCCCGGCAGTGGTACCGTCGGAGGAGGCGATCCCAGACATGCGGTGTACCACAAGTTTGAGCAGGGACCGACCTCCCCGACATCTCTATAGGCCTACCACGACATGTTCTTAGAACCCAAAAATGTTCTAAGAACAAAAACAAGGCTCTTAGAACATGAGCCCGATGTGTTAAAACAAGACAGTCTCAGCCAGACATGTTCTAATAACATTTCCTGCAACCCACAAAAGGTTCTTAGAACATTATTTGGTGGGCCTATAGGGGGGCCAGGACGCTTCGCCACTGCTTGAAAAGGACAATATCCTACGCAAGCGAAATGAAAGCAATATCCACGGACCTCAACAGGCAGCGCCGCAACTCTTATTCGGACCGCGGGGCAGGCCGACAAAGAAAAGCGGGCCAGGCAAGGGCGAGAAACGGGCAGGAGAGCGAGCAGCCGAGGAGCGAGAGGGAAAGAGGGACAGAGGGCGACAAGAAAGGACAGACCGGGCCGACAGACCGACGTGCGGTGTCCTGATTCGTTCAGCACGGGGTCCTCAGAGGTCCCGACCCTTTCCCCTGGGACCGGCTTCTCATCCCGAAAAGGTTTCTTGTCGGTCCTGGGGCCCGCTGGACGCCCCCAAGAGGCCCAGAACGGCCAAAAACCGTCCTTCCTGGTTTTCTCAAGACGCGATCATGTCTGGCACGCGTGCTCCCGTGGCCACGCCAGCGCAGCACGGAGCGCCCCCCCGCCACCCTCGGCG